TACCGACAACAGACTTAAGAGTGCGTATGGGTATGTCTTAGATAGACATCCAATTAACATCAAAGACGCTGAGGAACTTGCTCGAGGCAAACCATTGACTTACGTTCGACCAAATGCTGGAATGGATATATTAAGTTATGACGATGGTGAAGGGACGAATTATGTCTCCACATATAATGTGTTAGAAGGCAGTTTGAATGTGAATGCAAGTGGATATTACACATTCTTTGTGAAGGGACAGAACATGGGAAGTATTGACATGACATTAGACGATGGGATCAACAAAAGAGTGTGTGTCACTGATGGGTACATGTTCTTCTTTGATGATACAAATGAGACGTCATATGGAACTGTCTTTCTCAACAAAGATAAAACATACCCATTCACATCTAAAAACTCCAACGAATTTGGTGCTGGAAATATGGATGTTGGGTATTGCTATCATGGCACTGACAAGTCAAAAGTAGTTGTTAAAAATTGTAATCCACAAAGTGTACCAGAGAATTGGGTGTATGCAAAAGGATTTGGACCAAATACTGCTCCACCTGAATATATTTATCCAGGGTTGAAGTATCAAAGACCAGTGTCACATATGATTGGAACAGTATCATCCTTTATGACATGCACCTCTACTTTATGTAATGTCGAGTGTGAACTCCCAGCTGGTGAAAGTGATTCAAACAAGTGTTTCAATATATTTGATGGAGATACCTCTACTGGGTACATTTCTAAAGGAAGTGGCTCTTCAACTACTTTCCCTGCAGACTTTACATTCACCTTTAAACAAGATATTCTCTTCACTCAAATGAAGTTTGTATTTAACAGAGAGGCGGAAGCCTTTGGTGACTTTACGATATCATGTGGGGATATCAAAGATGCTTTAATTAATATCAAAAGTGTACAAAAGAGTGCTGGTAACCAATTTGATGTCACCTTTGATAAAGTTACAAAGTGTAAAGTATTGAAGTTCACTGTGAAAAATGCGATGACTGGAGGAGATTACGTTGTACTGACGGAACTCAAAATTATGTTAAAACAAAGCTTCAATAACTACGCAAAACCAAACGATGAAGGATTCACAACAACTGGATTTAAAAAACAGAGTGGTATTGGCTACTTTAATAACTTTATTTTAATCAATCAAAAGGCTGGAGAAGGACAAATATCATTCACATTAAAAGGAAGTGAACTTGGACTGTATGGAGACTACTCAAGTACTTTAGGAACTTGGGAAGTCACTATTGATGGTAAAAAACCACTCATCCACAATAGATATAGTGAAGTTATAAGTTCTAAAAGAACGTTATATGACCTTTATGGGTTCGAAAAGGGAACGCATAAAGTAGTCATGAAAGTGAAGAGTGGAATGGTCAACTTGGATGTTGTCGGATTTAATTAATTCATTTTATTGTTTTACTATTAAATTATAGCATTTGACTTGTATAGTTTTTTTTAATTCAAAAAATTAAATTCTCAAAATGTGTAATTTTTGAAACAAAAAATTTATTAAAATGTTGCAAAACAAAATGGTTGAATGGTTGTAAAATTTAAAAAAACAAATACTTTTTTGTTTTTATATATAGTTTATATTATTATAAATTATGGTTCTATTGTTATTAAAAATTTGTTTGTGGTTACAGTTAGTTCGGATTCAAATGAAACAAGTCTCATAATAAATTGAATTTGTCTCAAAACAAATTAAAATTGCACCTATATTCAATTTTGTTTCAAAACAATAAAAATTTGTCTCATTACTTTGTAATTTGTCCCAATAAAAAACAAAAGTGTTTCAAAATGATATAATGTTTCAAAATAATATTAAAATGTCCTAAAAGTAAAAAAATTTGTCTCATAAATGTGTAATTTTGTTCGATAAAGATTGTAACACTCTTTAAAAAACAATAAAAATATACACACATACTCTTTTTTGATAAAAGGATTTTGAAATTAAATAATTACAAACACTTTAAAAAATCAAAACTTGCTTTTAAATAATGAACAACTTAAAAAATATCTAACTTTAAGAAATTGTAAAATTTGTTCGTATAGTTCGAACAATTTTTTGTTTTTTTAATTATCAATTAGATTAAATACAACTTGGTGAGTTACCATCATAAAATGCTTTTGAAAGCAACACATGCAAATAACAACAACTTTACTACCAACAACACAAACTCCAATAGAAACATCAAAACCTTAAAAACTTGATGTGTAAGCGGCACACAATCATTTTTCAGTCTTTATTAAAAACTTTATATAAAAAGTATATTAACGATGTATCACTATATATTTAAAAACATAAATTTTATTGAGATAATACTAAGTAATATAAACACAAGTAAAATAACAATATTCAATATGCTATTGAATATGACCGGATGTTTCAAGTACATGATAATAATTTAAAAAATGTGTTGATTATTTCGTCAGACTAGTCGCGTTAAAATTACTCGCTCGAGGTGTTCTTTAAGTATTTTTTAGTTGTAAATATAAATTAAACATTAAAGTTTTATCAAAAAAGAGTATGTGTGTATATTTTTATTGTTTTTTAAAGAGTGTTACAATCTTTATCGAACAAAATTACACATTTATGAGACAAATTTTTTTACTTTTAGGACATTTTAATATTATTTTGAAACATTATATCATTTTGAAACACTTTTGTTTTTTATTGGGACAAATTACAAAGTAATGAGACAAATTTTTATTGTTTTGAAACAAAATTGAATATAGGTGCAATTTTAATTTGTTTTGAGACAAATTCAATTTATTATGAGACTTGTTTCATTTGAATCCGAACTAACTGTACCATTTTTTTACAAACAATATTTGAGGATAACTTTTTCATGAAAAAAAAATTAAATGACATCTTGTGATTCATAAATGCAAAAAGACAATGGAACAGTGTTTTCGTTTATATAGAATAGTGTTGTGTAAATTTAATAAAATAATAATTCAATAAATAACTAAAACAAGACACAACTAAAAATAAACTTAATAATAATAATACTATTTTTAACTAAAAAAGAAAAACTAACTCAAAATTTTATGTCGTTCAAACCACTGAAATTGATACGACTGGACCCACCTCATTTGTTGTGGGTCATCCCACATTTAACTTCTATATCTGTTTTACAACGGTTCCATCAAGTCTCACGGAACTGTGGGGAGTCGATATCGCGGTTGAAAGTGAATCCGTGTTATCAGGAGTTGTCACTAGAAACGATTCTTCAAAACGACCACTCGATTCACATCAGAAAAGAGTTGCAGATCTTCACAGGGATCGACTCGTTGCACACGGACATCAACACTTTACAACAACTTCCGCCCGAGTTGTTGTCGAATGTGAAGTTGTTTGAGATCTCATTCATTCAGAAACAAACACCATCGTCATATCCGATATGGGAGATCATTAAAGACAGAGTGTCACGTTTGATCATAGACGCACAAATCATCGCACTCATCGACTTGACTGCTCTTCCTAATTTGAGACGACTTGAAATCAAAGCGGGGCGTGTTGCGTTAAATGAGAACTTACCAATCAGACAAATCGAGAACTTGCAAACACTCGTCATCTTTTGTGATGGTAACCTCTACAAAAACTACTTCGACCTCTTCGAACAATTCGTTTGCTCAAAACTTAGAGTATTGTATAAACTAAATTGGCCTGTCGACGTTATTAAACATAACCCACAGTGCCTCCAAAAGGTGCAGAGTTCACAAAATTTAAAGGGGGTGTTAAATCTTGAGGAAGTGTACACTCCAAAGAAATCGCCAAAGACTATGAATTATCAGAATTACCAAAACGAGCAAATACATGATGTACCGAACAGCTCCATCGCACTTGGTAACACAAATACTCATGAATCTTCCAATTTTGTATCAACAGAGTTTCATTCGAAAATCATCGTGTTGGACTTTTTAAAGAAACGTTTTGATTTTCCGATGGATATGTTTAAAGAGGTTTCTTTGTCGACACAAAGCAGTTCTATTATTGATATTCTATCTGGACTGGACTTAAAAGAAAAAGCGATTGTGTATATCCACGAAGACATCGAAGAGTCTCAAGTCATTCTGAATATTGTGAACCAAAAGGAGAATATTATTATTATACTTCCCAAAGAAAAATATATTTATAAACAATTTGCAAAGGAAAATTGTCAAGTCAAGAACTCGCGAGTGGCCGAGTCGTTTGAAGAACAAATTTCGCGATTGATAGACCAGGCCGAGTGGAAGGGCCGCGACGAGGAAATCATCAAACACGTCATTGAAATGCACTCAACGAAGAAACAGGTGGGGTACATCAACAAATCGAACAAACATTTGGTTGCTTCAAACTACAAAGAGATAATCAGGAAATTTGTGGGGTTATGCCAAGAGCGCACTCCCCTTGACAGGAGTATTTCTTCAGTACTCGAGAAGTTAGAAAATTTTCCCATTGAAAGTGAGTCAATAGAAAAGCTTCAGACTTCGATCAACAACTCATTTACCATAGTGGAATTGGTTGTTGTTGAAATCATAAATTGCTTTGAGTATTTATCAGTGTTATCAGTCGGATTTTCTCACAATTTACTGAGAATTGCACTCAGCGCGTTGCAAACTAACTCACCAAGCCAGTCATTCAGTGTGAACGATTATTTGAATGAAAATGTCTTGTACTGCCTGTGCCTTATAATACAATCGTTACCAAGAGTGTGTATATCAGAGGATGTATCTCAGTTATTTGGATCGATTCAAATTGAAGTGGATCATATTAATCAACTGGAATTAAAGGGGACTGCGGAATTGACGGAATTCATGAAATACATCTCACAACTCCAAGTCGACTTGTTTAAGATTACTTTACTCTTAGATTGTTCCAAACGATTCTCATTTGAATTTTTCAGTATCCATCACAGACTCAATTTTATCGTACTGTCTCTGTGTAACACATCTACGACTTCTGCGCAAATTTCTATAA